CCAGCTTCTACAGTAGGTTAGTTTCAAAATTTCCTTTCTTAAAGCTATAGCCGCTCATTTACTTTCTAATGTTGACAGTGGTTAAAAATTTTGCAGTATTTGCTGCAGTTACGTATTACGCGATTTTTTCAAAATTCAAGAATTTTGAGAGATTACTTAGGAAAATTCTGCAAAGAAAGCTGGAAAAAGACAAAATTAGCATTAATTTGCAAAAGATTTGCCCTATTTGTTGGATATCAGGGCTCTTCAAAGTCCCAAAGAGAATTTTTGAAAATTTGCAGAAGGTAGGTTTGATACAAATGAAAAGTCGCAAGCTTCGGTGGCTATCATAACGCTCGTGAAAAATCGCATCCGGAACATAGTTGCTAGAAGGAGGAAGAAACTCTGCATAGCATACCACCGAACGTTTGTTTATTTTCACTCCACGGTATATACGGGTGGATTTAAGAAAGAGATAAAATTATTGCACCGGCTCAGCATATCAAACTCTAGACCCTAAGACCGAGTAGGCGTTTTCACAGTGTCAAAAATTTGCAGAATTTGGGACTGACCAATGGGCCGATGTTTGCCTTCGGCAAATTCGTTCCTGTGGCGCCGTTCTGCTGTTCCCCACTGGCTAGCCTTGCACGAGCATCATTTATCAGTTGGAGCGCAGCAGACTGCTCTGCGTAGCCCGTTCCACTGGTAAGGGTGCAAGGATCTTCGGAAGATGAGAATCGAAAAATAGCCGCCTCAAAAGGAATGATTATGAAGATATAGCAGACTCTACCGACATTAAGTAAATGACAATCCTACCAAAAGTAATGATGCACAGAAGAGCTGCTGCATAGTGATATGATGCAGACGCAACGTATCTCCTTATAAACTGTACATTAATCTATGGCCAACGCTCTCTTGATTTTCTACATTTCATCTCAAATGTTGTTCATACAGTGCAACTTTTTGAGCGTAGAATATTGTGTATAGACCGGGGGCGTTATCCGTGATGCACTGGTTTTTTGGAGTAGACTGCGTTTTTGATACAATACTGGAAAAACAAAATCTAACATGAAACTACATTACGTTTCAGCACGATTTGATATATTGTGTAAGTTAATGCACGAACACTACTAAGCTCAACTCATCCGGAAGGGCACGAGCAGATAGGGTTGATGTTAGAGCGGAGCAGCTTCATGGCAACATTCTTTCAAAGGCTTTGCTTCATATTTTATGGTTCTCTAGACAGCTGAGATAGAAAGCTTGCTCTTCTGGCGTTGTTGGAGAGAAAAACTTGCTCCAACGATAACAATAAAAATGGGAAAATATTCGCAGATCGTTAACATCAGCTTTGAGCAATTGGCACAAATGTGCAGTTGTTTTGCGAGCACTAGCAGTAGATTTACATTGAGAAGACTTTAAATATGCACAAATGAACACTTTTGATGTAATATTTACATAGTTTTTGTGGAATTTAGGTTTCTTTTAAAGGAAATGACACGGAACTTCTTTTTTCTTTTTTTGACTTCTAAATACTGTCCCAAAAAATGTGCACACTGTTTGATCGTTGATAACTCGCTTGCTTCGATGTCTTTCGCCAAACTTTAGGTACCATTCTCGAGAGCGAGGTTCAACTCAGATTTACGGTATGAAGAGAAACTCCGATCTCTTTCGCTATTGTAAGATTACGGTAGGAACCTTGAAGATGATTTTAAGCCAAAAAAGTCGCATTTCGCCCCGGAGAGCGAACCAAACAAGCCGGAAACTTTAATGCTAGGCTAATTAGAGTCGCTGATCACAGATATGCAATCACGGTTATGCTTCCTTCATAAGTTATTTCAGAAAAACAGTAACAACACAACTGCTCTTTCATTGTTCTTTGAAAATGTGATTACAGCTCTGAAAAGGCTCAAAATTTCCGTAAGAAGTTGCATAATGAAATCAGCGTGCTCAAAAACCCTGCTACATGAATTTCCAGGGTTTTTCGGAAATTTTTTATTGAACGGCTTATTTCATAATGGCAGTGTGTGCTGAAAGTTGATACTGCAATCATACAGTAACGAAAAGAAATCGGAGTTTTGCTTCAGACTATAAATTAAAGTTGAACCTCGCTCTACCTAGTGAGCGGCGAGAGACTCCGAAGCAAGCGGTTATTAACGATCAAACGGTGTGCACATTCTTTGGGACACCCTCTATACTTGTTTTAGAAATGTTCATAACTGACTCTTACAACAACCATTCCTTACATAAAGGCATATTTCCAAAGACTTCTCTACCTGGCCTAAATATTCAGCAGCTTTTTGCGCAGTTATCCGTACAGATTTGATGCGCGTTGAACAGTATTAAAAAAAGAAGTAGTACGATAAGATAGTGCATATTCTGGCACGTAAAGTGGACAGTATTTCGTAACACTTCCACAATGCTTGTAATTCGCATATCACACATTTTTTTAATGATTTCTGCAACCACACAACCATTCGCATAACCACTGCACGATGTCTCAAATTTTGAAAAGCACACTGTTTCCCAGCCGGAGCTCGTAGAATCTTTTGTCTCAACATTTGCGCTAAAATCTCAAGTTCGAGTAGACTATGCAATCTTCGTGTGATGCTCTTGCCTTGCGTGAAGAAAGATAATCCAGTAGAGGCTGTGCAGGTATTCTGTAAAAAGATGCCTTCTAACCAAATGTAACCACACAAGCCCATTTATTCTCACGTCTCACGAGAAAGCAAATTAATATTTTCACCCGCTTCTATACATTCGTCTACACCTGCTCTCCTTCTGCTATATTTGTAAGCTCACTCGTGCTCACCCTCATACCGGACTGCTGCATAAGTTCTGTCCGTTTGCAATTCTAGGCTAAAACATCAAAACTTCTTTCAAAAATCATCTTTATTCGATAAGCTTAATTCCTCTGGAATAAGCGACTTTACTTAATGACAGCGGTTCGGCAGAATGACAACTTTGGGATATTCATCATTCTCGGTTCCTTTGGATGAGCTAAGTCCAAGACTGTGCTTTGCAGCTTCAAAAGGTATCATTAACCCGCTTTTCCAGACATGAAGAGCGCATTTGAGGGCGAACCGCGTATCTACCATCTAGAGCGCGATTGGCTCGTGAGTGGAGATACTGTACCCATTGTACCCACGAGCCAATCGCGCTCTAGAGGGCAGATACGCAATCCGCCCTCAAATGGCTCTTCTCACGTCTGGAAAAGCGGGTTAATGATATCTTTTGAAGCTGCGAAGCACTGTCTTGGACTTAGTTCGTCCAGACGAACCGAAAGCGATAAATATCCCAAAGTCTTCGTTCTGCCGCGCCGCTGCCTTTAAGTTCTTATTTGGAGGTCTCAGCTGCTCAAAGGCAGTAGGTCGGCAGAATGAGACCCCTGGGAATACAAGGTCACAGGGTAGGAGCCCCCATAATGGAACCTATGAGCCAAAGTTCGATCTTTCTCTGCCACTTCTAACCCCCTAAATTGCCTTTAAGAGTTAACGGCATTTACAACATAACATTTTTAAAAAAAGTCTTCCAAACTTTGTTCTTCCTCGAATTTCATGCACTTTCAGTAGCACCTAATTCCACTTGCTATCCAAACGATCAGCTACTATGCAAGTTCGACAAATAAAGCTAAGCATTATTTTTGTACGGAGAACGTTGATTAGGTTGCGGTTTGCTTTCAAAACATCAAAGAAACGAAACTCGCGCAAGTGATCCTTCGTTCCGACACTTGTTATGTATTTTTGCATGTACCAGAGGCAGCAGTTCAATTGGTGAATGTATCTTCTCGTTGGTTGCTCAAGCGTAGACCAAATTCTGCACAGACTGCGAGACTACAGACTAATGTTTCGGCGAACTCGCCTTCTTCAGACTTTGAAAAGTCGAAGACGCACAAGCATAGTATTTAATCAAACACCTGTGTTTGATCGGATAGGTTTACGATGAAAGAGACGTACAAGATCATGGAACATTTTTTAATGGAATACGCAAAGAAGCACTTTTTCAGGCTACAATATTCTGAACGATAGGACTTCTTTTTATCTCTCTTCATTTCCTCCAAACATTTCGTACTATTGGTTGTTTGCGAACAGACGTCCAGGTGGTTTCATATAGCGCAGCTTGAAGTATAAATGCGAAATTGAGACAAATATTTCCTTGAAGTACAATACCGCCCATTTTTTGAAAGAAGGATGCACGGTCGTTCAATTTATGTGACATCACCGTAGCGTGGCCATATCTTGCTTCAGAGTTAACGAATCCTTAATCCAAGGACATCATTCGACTCAGCGCGGCACATCTTATATGTAGAAGTGCCTGTTTGCACAGTAAAAGGATAGACTACTCGAATCGTTTCAGACTTTTGCTCGGTGAAGTCCCAATGAGTGCAAAAGCACATTGAGTGACCTATCGTAAGCAGAAATCTGAAACGATTCATGGAATCTGACCTCCTACTGTGTACAAACAGGCACTCCCATAAATCGGAAGATGCGCCGAGCCGAGCTAAGTTGAATGGTGTTTTTGGATCAAGAATTCGTTCATTCCGAAGCGAAATATGGCCACGCGACGGTGATGTCACATGAAGCCGGCGACCGTGTTTCAGAAAGATATGAGCGGTATTGTACTTATATGAGAGCTTCGTAAGAAAAGAGCATACTAAGCGATTACTTCAACTCTAAGTTTCAACTCGGTTAAGCTACCTGCCCTTGGACAATTTTTTCACCAGTGCCGTCTGTGCTCGCATGGTAGTCCGCGCAGAGAAACTTTTGCTCTTATGGAAAGCAGGATGAGAGATGTGTGCTTAGAGATAGTCTCATATTCTTGAGAGAGGCCAATGCGATTTTGGAACATTTCCTTGTGTGCAATGCTAGATGCCTCAAAGTGGCTTGAAGATGGCCAACACTTTCATAGTGTGGAGAGAAAAAAAGACTCTAGACGCAGATTTATTGAGTGAATAAATAAGAGGAAAGTGGATGCTGTGTGGAATGGACACAAAAAAAAAAATTGCTGAGAAGTGCAAACACTTTTCATTCGAGAGTGCACAGTGCATCTTCCGTGCACCAAGAGCCAGGTGCACAACCTGTGCAGGGTGTTCCTTTTTTGTAGATAACCTGCTCCACATAATTACCTCTGAAACAGAAAAGTACATGGGTACAACTTGAAAGGGTATTGAGGATTTTCACGATCTTACCTGGGAGAATATCGGCAAACCGCGACATAATCGCTACCGCATTTTGCGACAGCACAACCGAGCTTGCGAGACGTGGACCACCCCATCTTAAACATAAACAAAGCAAGTTTTTTGTCTTCATGTATATGTCATGAAAACAAAAAATTCGGAAGCTTTCAAGGAGAGCAGTATCGCCTACCTGTGTAAAAGATTCAATTGGAGTGCCAACATGCTTTTGTCGGAAATAAACTTGCATACCGGGACCCTCTTCGCTGCGTATCACCTTCCACCAAGAAGTTACCGCCTAAACCTAATTGGATGCCTAGAAATTGTCAAGTCTGGAAGTTCACCTTCTGAGCGGCAAGCAAATACGTTGCCAAACCCTCCTGAGGCACTCGAATGAAATTTTCTCCCACATCAGGTCGTGTGGATTCAGCTGATTTGGATGACGGGCAGGTACTTACGTAATCAATGACTTCTTTCTCGAGCGCGCAGTTGTATCTCTAAGAAAATATCAAGATGTGCTTTTATACTAATCCATCAAAATTCATCAACCATTCTTTGCATGTCAGATGATTGAGGTAAATAATTCCCGTTCCTTTTAGCAACGTTTCCTTTCGCAAGTTCTGCCCTGCAAAATAATGACAAATAGGAGTCAAAAACGAATTAGTTAGAGCGCTTTTTCTCACCTGCGATAATTGTGCATATCTAAGAATTTGGTTCTGAGAGTATCGTGCATTCCAGTGTTTTGTGGACACCTCTCGTTTGGTCCTATAGCAACATTAGATCAAAATGACAAAGCTGATGTGGTGAACATCAAAGTTTCATAAGAATAAACTCGAGATGAAGGCGTCCCAAGGTTTTCAAAAACACTAATTCTCAATAATTCCAGCCACACGTGCTCTCTACTTTTGTAGCAATTAAGGGGTGCAACTTGAGTTATCGTAAGAAACATGATCGATGGCTTTTCGTTGATGTACGAACACAATGGAAGCTTCCCATCTAGCTTCATTGTCATTTGACCGCCATTTCAAGAACTTCAGTATAAATCCTTGTAAACAAATCACTTACGCTGTTTTTGCAAAGACTGTCCCCATATGTTTGACTTGTAATAAGGCGATTCTGATACCTCAAGCCTGAGAATTTGATTGTGGTAAAATTGGCTTATAAGTTTTTACCGTGGTTCAGATGAAAGGGCGATTAACGACCGTTCATATTGTACAGAGCTTATCAACTGCAGAGTCGGGTGCATCATCTCCCTTCCCGCGAGGCTGCCTTGCTTGGACTCTGCACCTCTATCGCGAACATGCTCTCTTATCACTCCCACTAGGAAGGTTAGAGCTTCAATCGCTAATTAAGCATTCTAAAATGATTAGAGAGCATGTTCTGCAATGGATAAGCCCTTAGATCTAAGTGAAGCTGTTCAAAATAGTGCTCAATAGTCTTCCAGACACGTTGTGGCAAGAGAGTTACCAACGACTAAACAAGTGTTCACGATTTTGGGACACCTCGTACTAGCAGTAAATCCTTATTTTTTTCGGCGCTTCTTGATTCGCTTTTGAAACAGCCAGATGCATAGCATATGGAAAGCTTACGTTCTAACATCACTCGACGGTTGGCAAATGAATGTCTATTTGAGCAAAAAACTGTGAGATTTCCAAACTAGTTTGGCGATTCGAGAGTACTCACTTATGACGAAAAAAATGCTTCAAATGCGGTGTGGACTCTTTGTTCACACTTTTGCAAAGTACAGAATTACAATTGCTCCGATAACTCAACTTCTTTCCCTGAATTTGTTTTCTGCGCGTAGATTGATAAAACTCATAACGACACGAATGTAATTTCGATGTCTTTAGTTGTAGATACCTGTCTTTTTGCTCTAAGGGTTTGAAATCAAAAGTGCATGATGTTACTGGTTGTGATTTAGTTGCTCTTAATTTTGAAGGTGCGGTCTGACGGTAATGCGACTGCTCCTTGACGAGAGAACAGACTTTACCTGAAGTAGCTGGAGGAAACTCCGCCGGCGACTGCGGTGTCGGTGCCGCACTGGTGGCTTTGCGTCTTGGAATACATGAGGTGGTCCCGGTGGTTTTCGTTGTTGCCGACTCCGGCCCCGTGCTCGTGGCCGCTGACTCTGTGGTTGTCGCTGACTCTGTTGCTGGAGTGGTTGTGGTCGTCGTCGCCACCGGCGTCGTTGTTGTTGTTGCAGTCGTCGTAGTCGTAGTTGTCGTGGTCGTTGTAGTGGTAGTTGTTGTTGTTGTTGTTGTAAGTCGGTGGTAAATAGTGTCACCTTCCGCCAACTTCCTGAATTTGAAGCTTGTCGCCAAAATCAATCACATTCCCCAATGTTTCCGCATTTATTTATATGCTGTGCTGCAAATTATCCGGATGATCGCTCTCTATTATATCTCAACTCAGACAGGTGGAAGCGTGCCATTGAAGGTAGCGTGTGGCTCTGCGATCGCAAAGCGCTGGAATTTTGCTCATGAGAGGCACCGTCCGCCCAATCGAGATTGGTAAGATTTTGATGCTGTATAGTAGGGGTTCTCCTAACTAAGTGATCGCCCAAGTTCCGCTGCAAAAAATTGATTCCGAAGCAGGAAAATCGCTTCAGAAGGGCAGCAGCCCAAGGGGCACCCTTGTCAACATGGGTGGTCTGAATATGACAAGTCTAAAGCTGGGCTCCAAGGTAGAAAGCAATGTCGAAATCCTATAATCATAAAAAAAGGCAGATTTATGTCGATCTCAGATCATCAATGGGCAATTTTGGACTTACTTATTTCAGACCCACGTCGTGGGTCGTTAAAAAATCCAAAACTGGGTTCTGATGTATCTGAGAATGCGCCGCGTGAACCGCTTATAACTTCTGAAGCGCTTTTCTCCCTTCGAAAATCACCTTTTGCAGTGGAACTATGCGACCACTTAGTTAGCCCCCCCCCCCCATTATACATCATCCAAATCTCACTAACCTCGATCTTGAGCAAACTGTGACTTTAAAGGAACGAGATGATGAAACGTCAATATGGGTCCTGTCAAGGTACAATAAGGAAGCCGTCGCGTTGCGACGCGAACAAAGCTACGCGCGTTATTTTAATTTCGCTCTATTCTAAGTTGAAATGAACTGCACACCGCTCATTCTTCAAATCTAAAACGACTTCTTTCACAGAAACGCTCTATCCTCCCCAAAATAATGAAGCGGTTGGCTAAAAAATAATTTCTTTTGGCGTCAAAATCTCCATAAAAACTTTCCTAATTGTTCTTTATCCATGATATTCTGTGGATAAGTGTTTCAAAAACTCTACTATCACGTATCAACTATTCAGAGTCTCAATTATCAATAAGGAATTTATGCCCTAAGAAGGCTAAAATTCCAATAGCTCGATTCTGCAACTTTCGAAGCTTCGTTTTCATGCCATAATGGATGTAGAGAACTGCATTTTGGTATACGGATACAGACTCGTTTTTCCTACTTAGCGACTATCAATAAAAATTGTGATCTGCCGCTGAATTCTTTGACCAAAAAACCAAATTTTCTCATATTTGCGCACAATGAGAAAATCGAAATTCTCATTGTGGATTTCTTTCATTGCAAAAGAAACTCTATTCGAACAAATTTCATGTCCCAATTCTCATTAAGATGCTCTTCCCAGCGGTGCCGAATATAGGACAAAAAACTGCCTGCTATTTATTAGCTAACCTAATAAAGTGGATAGCTCCCACCCTGGAATTTTCGATAAAGCTATCTTACTGCGGGTGTCGTTATTATTCCGCTTGGTTTGCTCGCATATAAAGGCTGACGTTATTGTCAGAACACTTATCTATGTCCAATTATGAATATCCTTTCTTCAAGTAAAGTGCGCTAGCAGCAATTTTCCATCCTTTTGCGTCAATTTTTTCAAGGTAGCGGGGTTTTAACTTTACTTCATCCATCATTTTGATGAAAATATCTTCAACACTTCATGAGTCCATGTCATATTTAGTTTTGAATTGTACAAAGAAAGTGCGAAAACTCACTCATTGTCGGTTAGACAATACACCAAGGTGAGGTCATCTCCATCATCATTTTTACATACACTCTCAACACATCCAATCTCGGTTATATCCTCGCGCATAAGCTGGAATACTCGCAAAAAAGTTTTTATCTGGTTTTTTACAATTTAATTTTTATTTTCATCTTTTTGCAGACTTCTAAGAATGTTTACTTACATTTGCATATTGGGCCAAGCCCGTAGTACCGTCGAATTTAACATCTTCTTCTCCAATAAAGTCATTTTTGAGTCCGAAACTTTCAATTTGCTTCAACCATTGATCTAGCACGGCATCATCGCCAATTAGGTAGTACATCTCGTAGCCCTCGCCAGACCCGTAGCCGCTGAACCAATTAGTGTCGTACCATCCATGTACATCTCTAGAAGCTTGCAGACAGAAGCAATTGGGGGAGGGGGGGAGAGTAAATTAGTTAAATGTGGAAACAAGTTGATCGCTATCACGAGGCGTGCCGACATTGCCCGTATCACCTGCTACGCAGGAGTGGCATTTGTGTCTCTATCTGACGTAAGGATTCAGCTGTATACGCTACTGTGGTTCTTCAAGCAGTTGTCGAATGTTATTTCTCAGCAAATTTGGGTTTAAAGGGGATTAGAGTTCACGGAGTCAGCACAAATTAATAGAACTGTCACGAGGTCTAGTCCAAGAGGAAGCACTCTCATGCGAAAAGCGCTGTTGCTAAATGATTTGTGATTGAGTGGGACATAAACTTGCAGCAAACTTTTCCTGCTTATAAGAGTGGCATTATGAAAACATACTAGTTGAATAATCCGGTATTTCCAGTTGGTGGCATATGCTCAGCCGTTGAGCAATCAGCAGTCAATATGACTTTTGCTGCTTCCTCCAAAGAACAGCTCCATGTCTGAAACTCCGTAGATGTGTTCGATAAGAGTCGAAGAAGAAAGTTGTTTTGATCATATTACGATGTCTGCATGTGCTGCAGTTAATGAGAGACGAAAGAAACTTTTCAGATAGCTGCATGTTCATGTATATGACATCTTCTTTGAGATCAAGTACTCTGCGTTGATACCACTGCTT